GAAGTTGCTGTGAGCTGTGACACCACAGCACTCTACCCAGGATGACAGCTTGAGGCTCTGTCTCAAAAAAAAGCCAAACAGAATATTTCCTTCAGTTATGGCCCCATTCCAGTGGGTTCGAATGAGTTCCAGTTTGAACTCTGCTGAGTTGAGTTCAGCAACCTTCAGCTGCAGGGTGCTTTATATCAGAAGTGCAAAACAGTTCATACTAATTGCCTAAGGGAGACCAAATTGCAACTGAAGGACATAGACCAAATACATATCTGAAAAACAATTTCTTTTCTATCATACTTGTGTTTATTTTTAAGGATATCTCATTATGAAGAAATCATTTGTGGATCTCCTTTTGGCAAGTGTTGTGCTCTTATAGGTCCAAGGATACTGGGGAAAGTGATGGCTTGCAGGGCAAGGAGGAAATAAATACTTAAGCATGAGACCAGGCCAACTTGAACACCTGTCATACCATGTTTAAAGAACTGGAAACCCTTTGGAACTCTTCTATGAGTTGGTCCTTTATGCAAGCTGATAAGACATGATATCAGTGCAGAAATGAACTGTCAGAGTCAGTCTGATTCTTTATCCCACACTAAAGAGCCTTCTGAATTACTCCAGTTCAGATCAGACTTCCCTAGGCAACTGCCCTAAATCACACCAATTTCCAAATGCGTATGAGTGCTAAAGGGTTTCTGACAGTTTGACAGACATGACACACAGAGTGAAAAAGCTAAACAGCTCCTTATGCTCTTGGTTGCAAGATATTGTCTATATTCCCAAGAGTGAAAGTTTCTACTCTTTCTCTTGCAAAGCTCTTTCTTATTTTACTCAAATTTTTGAATTAGACTTCATTATTATCATCATTAAAATACAGGGTGTCCATGAAGTTCACGTGCAATTTACCATGTTAAACTTTTGAAACCGTACATGAACTTTATGTCTACCGTATTTGGGAAATTTAAGATTAAAATCAAAGTAGATAATTTCTTATGCTACTACAAAAGATTTTGATACATGGAGACTTTACATCTTTTGGATTAACCTGGATAGAGGTGGAGGACATGCTCTTTAGTAAAGTATCACAAGAATGGAAAAGCAAGTATCCAATGTATATAATACTAACATGGGCCAGTAGACAAATTAATACATGCCCACATGAGAAAAAACTCAATTTAAGTATGGGAGGAGGAAGAAGGTGGGAGAGGGGAGGTGGGAGAGGAATTGGTGTACGCTCACCTAATGGGCACAGTGTAAGGGCACATACACACCTGGATGAGGGACACAACTACAACAGGGACCTTACATAACACATGCAAATGCTGCAACCTAGTCATTTGAACCCTAAAATTAATCTGAAATTAAAAAAAAAATCTCAACATGAAGAATCTCAAATTAATCTGAAATTTTAAAAAAAATCTCAACATGAAGAAGTTACTCAACAAGAAGTAACTATACGTATATTCATTACATTTATTTTTGCAGGGTTGATGTTTTACCTCCAGAAGTTACAATGTGTGTTTCTGTTTATTTTCAGGGTAATGAGGAAAAACAAAATTAATCACTTAAATGAAAATACTTTTGCCCCTCTCCAGAAACTAGATGAATTGTAAGTTTGACTGAACTTATATTGCGAACAATTTTCTCCCACTGTTTCATTTCCTATTTGTTATATGTATATGGGTTTATACATGTAAGGAATACTGTTTCCGGTTTCCAATCATGATTTATATACACCTTGGGCCACAAAGGAATTCAGATAGCTGACAAATATATATATATATATATATATATTTGGAGAAAGTAAAGGGAACAGAACTGTAGAGAAATTATTAAACTAATGTAAAATTAATTAAATGCATACTGTACCACCCCATTCCACTGCTAAAGAGAGAGAGCCAATTTGTCTTAAAGGGCCCTAAAAGATTAGGTTAGGATTCAGAGACCATAAGATTAAAAGATATCAAATAGCAAGTTAGAAAAAGGATATGAATGGATTATGTTCCAAAAAGGAATACTTACTTGATAAAAAATGTTTAACCTCATTAATAATTAAAGAAATGTGAGTGTAAAAAAAAAAAGATTAAAAGATATCACTTTACTGATTCTGAAACTAAAGGTTAATCTTAGCTCCATAAGGAAATTAGACACTTCTATGGATGATATACCTACTTGTAATCATGAAAGAGAGAGAGAAGTTAAAACAATTAATTCATATAATGCCCATTTTTTAATATCCAGGGCTTAATTCCAATAACCATTAAAACAATTCTATGACGGTCCAAGCATGTAGTTGATTATCAGAATGAAATAGGTGCAAAACAATGAATGAAGCGCATATCCTTCAGACAATGTTTTATTATTTTGGATCAGTTTTCTGGAAAGAATTTGGAGTGTGGACAGTGCAAGTTTCTAGCATAGAACCAAGGTGAGAGTCTGCAAGAAAGGAGAGGAGGCCAGTCTAGAGACAAGGAAAGACTTTAATAGAGGGGAAAAGCAGAATGGAGACCGACCAGGTGTCAGCTCGGCTCCCACAGTTGCAAAAGGCTTTTATTAGCCTTATCAGTATAGCTGGAATGGGCCAGGGAGCCCGGAGTACCACCCAGGGCTCTTCCCTAGTGTGGGTCAGCATTATGGGCGTATGGTTGGAATCAGAATTTTGTATGTCTGCTTAGTATCAGCCAGTACTTGGGTAGGGTGTTTCCAGGAACTCTGGCCTTGAGGCACTGTAGGAGTCTGGGGAGGGCAGTGCTGGTTTCTGACCTGATTTTCTAAAATGGCTGCACTCCTGTCAGGGTTGTGAGAAGTCCTTTCCTGTAGACCAATTTCTATATTTGGACAATTACCTGTGCAGAAAATTGATTTATTAAAACTCTTCCATATGAATTAAAGAATGCCATTAGAACACTCGAGGGCTAGGAACATACCACCTGGACACGGGCCCTAAGCCCTGAGCCCTGAGCCCTGAGGCAGGTAGAGGAGATACAGTGCCACACGCAGCAGCATTTCTGGGAAATAATCCCGCACGCAGCCCCAAAACATCACGGAACACGCCACGGAAAACCCAGTATTTTTTCTGTGGTGATTAGCCTGAAACATTTCTTGGTAGGCAATAACAATTGCTCACAAAATGTATAGGAAAATCTCAGTAGATAACGAGAACCAGTCATCTGTTGTGACAACTCCTGGTATGTGGCACTTGAACCACAGTAGCAGCACGCAGGAAATTACGCCCAGTAGCAGAGAGAGGTGCATTAGGTGATCCAAAGCTATTACTTAGCCATTAGAATACAAATTAGTCATGGGATCCATACTTTTTCTTATTTTTAAAATAAGAAAACCACTTGAAATGACTATCTGCATGTCAGAGGATAGTTCCCAAATCCTAACCAACCTTCATGGCAGCAGTCAGGTGCAGATTTTATGTATCAGTCACCTGCCTTGACTGTGGACCACGAACAGCTTAGTGAATAACCACTGCTAAACCAGGTTCAGAGAAAAAGGATAAAACAAAAGCTGCAGAAGCAGTAACCAAGGCCATAACTAGTCCTATCTGAAGCCTGCCTGGTCCCACAGTAAACACACGCCTGAGAAAGCAGACTTACAGACAAATAGCATGGTTTCTAAGAGGTGATGGCTTTCAATGCATAAGCCTGGATCTAAACTATCCTTTGGAGAGATGGATGGAACACACCCTCTGCTCCTCCAGGCTCAATCACACCCACAGAGCCAATGTGGAAGTCAGGATTCACTTTCCACAGAGGACTTCACGGAGTTCTAGTGACATCTAGTGATGTGGAAATCTGTGCCACACACTTGATTAAATTTGAGCTGTTAAAGTCAACTATAGTTGGTAAGGTGTTTTCTGAGCTCATTCAGAAATGGACCTTGAGACTAACTATGTGTAGCCCAACTTTCCTAAACTGGAGAAGCTTAAAAAATGGCCCTGCCCATGTCACTTAGGATCTTAGTGTAGGCAAACACCATCCCATTACATGATTCATGCTGTAAGAACTATATGCCAGGCTGGGTGTGGGGTCATAGCTGTGATCCAACACTACCGGAGGCCGAGGCGGGAGAATTGTTGAGACCAGGAGTTCAAGACTAGCTTGAGGCTCAGTGCCTGTGCTCAAGTGGCTAAGGCGTCAGCCACATACACCTAAGGTGGCGGGTTCAAACCCAGCCTGGGCCCGCCAAACAACAATGACACCTACAACCAAAAAAATTATCCAGGCGTTGTGGCAGGCACCTGTGGTCCCAGCTACTTGGGAGGCGGAGGCAGGAGACTCACTAGAGCCCAGGATTTGGAAGTTGCTGCGAGCTGTGATGCCATGGCACTCTACCCAGGGGGATAGCTTGAGACTCTGTCTCAAAAAAAAAAAAAAAAAAAAAAAAAAACTGGCTTGAGCAAGAGCAAGAGCAAAACACCGTCTCTACAAAAATTAGAAAAATCAGCCAGATTTGGTGCCACATACCTATAATACCTATAGTCCCAGCTACTTGGGAAGCTGAGGCAGAAGGATGGCTTGAGCCCCAAAACTTGAGGTTGCAGTGAACTGTGATGTTGCCACTGCACTCTAGCTCAGGTAACAGAGTGAGGCCCTGTGTCAGAAAAGGAACGAAGAGAGGGAGGGAGGGAGGGAGAAAAGAAGGGAGGAGAGAGAGAGAGAGAGAGAAAGAAAGAAAGAAAAAGAAAGAGGAAGGAAGGAGGAAAGAAGGGAAGGAGGAAGAGAAGAAAAGAGCGAAGGAAATAGGGAGGCAAAGAAGAAAAAAGGAAAGGAAAGGAAAGAAGGAAGGGGAAAAAGAAGAAAAAAAAAGAACTATATGCCAGAATTTACTCTGATAACCAAAACTCACATTCCCACTGGAAATTGTTCAATATGATACTTGGAGTTTTAATATCCTAGTGGATTACTTTAAATCTGTTTTTCACATTGCCTTACTGATATGCTTGCTACTTTACTTATACAAGGAACTGAGATTGCATTCCACTTTTATGTAAATATGAAGCCTATAGACTTGATCTATTAAGTCTTCTAGTTGAGGATGGAAAGAATAGCAAAACTGAGCGAGGCACTGGGTAGCCCAAGATGACAAGCTGTAGTTCCAGCACTCAGTGTTGCATGGGCTATGTGTGTTCTCTGTGCTTTCATGCAAGTGTGCAAGAAAAGTATATGGGAGAACACAGGACAGAACGACTGACCTCGGGGCATCAGAGGTTTCGCAGAGGAACGGCATTTGAGGAATCTCTAGAAGAATGAATATAAAATCACCAGGAGTGCCAGAGGGAAAGGTCATCACAGGTGGAAGGAAGCATCCATGCAGAAGAAGCATGGAGGTTAGAATACTGAAACGCACTGAGGCCATCCCGAAAGTTACTTTGCTAGAAAGTGTTAGGAAAACAAGACTAGAAAGATAAATGGTCCAAGGCAAGATAGTGAGATAATAAAAGCTCTTTATGTCACACTAAATAATTTCCATTTCATCTTCTAGGTAATAGTGAGCTATTGAAAGATTTTATTGCAGCCTGAGCAAGGCCAAGACCCCGACTCAAAAAAAGAAAAGAAAAGAAAGAAATAGTCAGGCATTATTGCACCTGTAGTCCCACTACTTGGGAGGCTGAGGCTGAGGCAAGAGGATGACTTGAGTCCAAGAGTTTGAGATTGCTGTGAGCTATGATGCCACAGCTCACTACCCAGGGTGACAGAGTGAGACTCTGTCTCCAAAAATAAAAATAAAAATAAAAATAAAAATGAAAGATTTTATGAAGGAGATGAAATTTTAGACTGATTTCTTCAGTTGTCACATCAGAATAATCTACCTTCACCCATAAATATTTAAATAACAAAACTAGTCTCAAGGTTGAGTTTACAGCAAAGACACTTATATTTATTTATCAGATTATATTAACCGTTTATTTTCAGTTTTGAAAACTCAATCAAAACCTGCCCTTCAAAGTCAAATAATCTAACTTGTCTTACAAACCAGCATATGTGAGAAATACAGCTATCCTCCCACACATCCCAGTGTCCCAGTGAAAACTAATAGGATTTGGAGATGGATAGGGGAAGTGGTTAGGCTTTCTCTTAGTATCTCTTGATCACCTACAAGGGTTCAAGCCTATTGAAACCTTTGATCTTTTATAGAAGAATCTAAGAGCTGACTCTTAGAGGCTGAAGCAGTGATCACCTGAGCTCACAAGTTTGAGACCAGCCTGAACAACAGTGAGACCAGGTCTCTAAAAAATAGCCAGGGGTTGTGGCATCCCCCTATAGTCCCCAACTACTTGGGAGGCTGAAGCAAGAGAATCCCTTGAGCCCCAGTGTTTGAGGTTGCTGTGAGCTATGATGCCACAGCACTCTACCAAAGGTGACAAAGTGAGATTGTGTCTCAGAAAGGAAAAACAACAACAAAAAAAGACCTGACACTGTCCAAACTATTGCTGCTGTAAAAACCTTCTTAAAAGGGGCTCGGCGCCTATGGCTCAAGTGGCTAAGGCGCCAGCCACATATACCTAAGGTGGCGGGTTCGAATCCAGCCCAGGCCCGCCAAACAACAATGATGGCTGCAACCAAAAAATGGCCAGGCGTTGTGGCGGGTGCCTGTGGTCCCAGCTACTTGAGAGGCTGAGACAGGAGACTCCCTTGAGCCCTGGAGGTTGTGAGCTGTGATGCCATGGCACTCTACCCAGGGGGATAGCTTGAGGCTCTTGTCTCAAAAAAAAAAAAAAAAAACCTTCTTAAAAGTAAGCTACAAAGTCACACCATGTTTTGACACTCAAAGTATCTTGCCCCAGGAGAATATGACATCTTGTGAATATTAGCTATGAAATAAACTTGCCCTTGAAATAATACACCTCCATTTGATAGTCATGGTAAACCTAAGAAAAATGAAAAATTAAGGTTCCGAATCATATTCCTACTCTAATACAAAAAAGAGAGACAGAAAAGGAAGGAAGGGGAGGGGCACAACAGATATTAATTAGAATTAGGAAACTAGATCAATCAAAATCAAATCAAATACCATCATTTGTCTCCAAAGGAGTGACAAAATGGAATAATATTTTTATATTTTCCCATTTCAGTTCTTTTTTAAAAAAACTTTTAGACTTCTGGTAATTAATAAAATTCACCAATAACATTGTTGAAAGTCGTATAATGGTTCCCTGATGAATTTCAGAACAATGAATAAAGTCTGAAGAAAATAATATGACATGTTTGCTATTATTTCCCTAGGGATTTAGGAAGTAATAAGATTGAAAATCTTCCACCGCATGTATTTAAGGATCTCAAGGAGCTGTCACAACTGTAAGACTGACACTAATTTTGCCTCTTTGTTTCTTTATTTTATTATTCTTTAAATTGTGATAAAATACATGTAACACAAAATCAGCCATTTAAAAATGTATAGTTGAGTGGTATTGACTGCGTTCACATTCTTACACAACCCTTGCTATCATCCACCTGCAGAATTTTTCATCTTGTAAAACCGAAACTCTGCAACCATTAAACACTACTCATTCACTCTTCCCCTTCACTCCAGCAGCCACCATTCTCCTTTCTGTCTCTACGAATTCAACAACCCTGGGTGCCTCATGTACATGAAATAATAGGATATTTGTCTTTTTGCGCCTGGCTTCTTCACTTAGCATAATGTCTTTAAGGTTCATCCCTGGTGCAGCACGTACCAGAATTTCTTTCTTTGTTAAGGTTGAATAATATACCATTGTTATTACACATAGTATAATATGCTGCATTTATCCATTTATCCACTAATGGATACTTGAGTTGCTTCCATCTTTTGGTTACTATGAACAATGCTGCTACAAGCATAGGGGTTCTCATATTCAAGTTCCTGTTTTCAATTTGGGGGGTATATACTCTCGAAGGTAGAATTACTAAATCATATGTACTATAATCCTGGTTTTAGTCTATGTTTAATTCTGTTTTCCATACGAGTTATTCCATTTTACATTTCTACTAGCAGCGCACAAGGGTCTCAGTTTCTCTACATACTCCCAACATTTGTAATTTTCTGTTTCCTGTGGATGTGAAATGGTATAGGTTTTGGTTTGCATTTCCCTAATGACGTTGAGAATTACTTCATGTCCTTAGTGGACATTCTGATATCTTCTTGAAGAAAAATCTGTTCAAGTGCTTTGTCCTTTTTATTGGATTGTGTGGAGTTTTTACAGTTGTTGGGTGATAGGAGATCTTTATAAATTATGGATATTAACCCCTTTTCGGATACACGATTTGCAAATATTTTATGCCATTTCATGGATTGCCTTTTCAGTTGTTCATTGATGCACAAAATTTTTAATTTTGATTTAGTGCACTTTTCCAAGTTTTTCTTCTGTTGCTAATACTTTTGATGTTGTATCCAAAATGGCACCAAATGTCATTGATCTCACGTCATGAAGCTTTTGTTCTATGATTTTTTTCTAAAGTTCTAGCTCTTACATTTAGATCTTTAGTCCACTTTGAGTTAATTTATGTACACGGTGTGAGGGAAGGGTCTGGTCTAATTTCATCCTTCTGCATGTGGACGCCCGGCTTTCCCAATACAGTATGTTGAAACGGCTGTTCTTTCCCCCTTATTGAAAATCACTTGACCATGTATATGCTGGTGGGTTTATTCCTGGCCTCTTTATTCTATTCCCCATTGGTCTGTGTATCTCTGTCTCTACGCCAGTACCACAGTCTTTGGTTACTGTAGCTTCGTAGTAAGTTTTGAAACAAAAAAGTGTGAGATCTCCAATTTTGTTCATTTTTCAAAGTAATTTTGATTATTTGGTCTCCCTTGGATTTCCATGGGAATTTTAAGATGAATTTTTATATTTCTGAAAAAATGTCAGTGAGATTTTGATAGACATTACCTTGAATCTGTGGATCACTTTGAGTAATATTGACATCTTAACAATAGTAAGCCTTCTGATTCATGAGCACAAAATATCTTTCCTTTTGTTGGTGTGTTCTTTAATTTCTTTCAGCACCATTCTACAGTTTTCAGGGTATATATCTTTCCTCTCTGTTAAGTTTATTAAAAGATCTTAATATTTTGATGCTGTTGTAAATGGAACTATTTTCCTAATTTCCTTTTAAGATTGTACATGATGTATAGAAATACAACTGACTCTTGTGTATTGGTTTTGTATCCAATGAATTTGCTGAATTGGTTTATTAGTTTTAACAGATGTTTTTGTTATTGTTGTTAAACCTTATGGTATTCTACATATAAGATCACATCAACTATAAACAGTGGTAATTTTCTTTTTTCATTTCCAATTTGGATGCCTTTTATTTCTTTTTCTTAATGAACTGCTCTCATTAGGACTTCTAATGCTATGTTGAATAAAAGAAGATCCTTCCTCTTGATCTTAGAGGAAATCTTTTGGTCTTTCACCACTGGGTATATATATTTGTTATGGGTTTTTATATGCATTCTTTTTTCTTTTTTAAGACAAAGTCTCACTCCGTTGCCCTGGGTAGACTGCTGTGGCATCATCATAGCTCACAGCAACCTCAAAGTCCTGGGCTCAAACAAGCTTCATGAGTAGCTGGGACTAGAAGCGCATACCAACATGCCTGGTTAATTTTTTCTATTTTTAGTAGAGATAGACATGTCTCGCACTTTCTCAGACTTTTGTCCTTTTTATGTTAAGTAGGTTTATTCTGTTTCTAGTTTGTTGAGACCACTTGATTTCCTTTATACAATTCATTTTTTATTGTCATTCTTTCTTTAACATGATTCCCCGACAGTTCCCTTCATCCTCCACATAACTAATGATCTAATGTTGAGTCAGTTTTTCGAAAGAGAATTTTGTCTGAGAAATTTCCTTTAATCAATGATTCTTGTTTCAAGGTTCTGTTTCACAAAGATTCTGAAATTTTCTCCCTTTTAATTCAGCTTTAAATTCCCTTTAAAGACATGCACACCTATAGTCTCAGTGACTTGGGAGGCTGAGGCACAGGATCCCTTGACCCCAGGAGTTCAAATCCAGCCTGAGCAACATGGCAAGATCCTGTTCCTTAAAAAACAAATAAATTAATTCCCTTTAAAGCCTACTTTTCATTTTACGTTCCACAAAACACTAGTGAATATGGCACTCTATGACATAAGATTCATTGTAAAAGGTATGCAGTGTGGTTTCATTAATTCAGTTTTAACTTAGTAAGATTATTTTATTTCATTTTATTTAAACCACTTCTGATCCTAGGAAAAATGTGGCACCCTCCCACTTCTCTGGTGGAAGTCCTTTCCTAACGGCCCTCCCTCCATGCCCATGCTGTGTTAGCTCTCCCTCTGTCACTGTCACAATCATAGAGTACCAACCACCACCCGGCACTATTCTACATGTTGTATCTCGTTAATTCACTTAAATATGCAATCAACCCTAGGGTATAAGTTCTAATACTATACTTCTTATTTGACAAAAAATTGTATGCCTTTATCATGTACAAGATGCTGTTACTATGTATACAGTATAGAATGGCTAAATTGAGCTAATAACATATGCATTACCTCGTGTATTCATCATTTTGTGGTGAGAACACTGAAAATCTACTCTCAGCAACTTTTAAGAATACAAACATAGTTATTAGCTATAGTCTCCATGTTATACAATACATTGCTTGAACTTATTCCCCTTTCTAACTGAAATTTTGTACCTTTTGACCAACATAGCCCGATCCCTCCCCCGCTGCCTGTGGTAACCACAGTCTCCACTTCTATGAACTCAACTTTTTTAGATTCCACACGCAAGGGAGATCATGTGGTGTTTGTCTTTCTGTGCCTGACTTATTTTACTCAGCATGATTTCCTTCCAGTTTCATCCATGTTGTTGCAGATGACAGAATTCCCTTTCTTAAGGCTGAATGGTATTTCATTATCCACATGTACATTTTCTTTCTTTTTTTCTTTTCTTTCTTTTCATTTTTTTCTTTTTTTAAAGACAGAGTCTCACTTTGTCGCCCTTGGTAGAGTGCCATGGCATCACAGCTCACAGCAACCTCCAGCTCTTGGGCTTAGGCAATTCTCTTGCCTCAGCCTCCAGAGTAGCTGGGACCACAGGCACCACCACAATGCC